TGAACCATCGTTTTACATAAAAAACACACATGGAGCTACAAATTTGGAAGGCTATTCATCCAAATGAGTGGATGATGGTTTTAATTTGTCAGAATGGAGATGAAATGCCAGGGAAAAAGTTAATGGAGGAGGAAAAATTGGAACACAGCCTTCATCAAAAGCATGCATCCATTAGGTGTGTATTGTATGCACGTCTTCATGTGCACCTGTACATGTCTATATGTACACGTATAGATTTGATGAAAAAAGACAGTTCAGCTCCCACATGTGAATCCCTGGGGCTGGAGGAACATGCATGGATCACTCCAGGAAGTTAGAAGACATCCTTTGTGATGGCATGTGGTTCCACTCTCTGTCTTCCTCCGTCTCAGTGTCAGATGGTCAGTTTCTATCTCTGAGGTCCCTTTTAATTTCCCCTCAGACTGTGTCTTTGAAGCTGTGAGTCTCTTTCAATCTCTCTCTTCACTCTCTCAGTCTCTCTTTATCTCTCTCTGTCTCTCTTTCTCCATCTTCTCAGAATATCTCCCCCAGCTCTTGGCTCTCAGCCACTTCCCCTCTCTCATTCTCTCTACTCTTTGTCTCTTGGTTCTCTCTCCCTCTCCCAGTTTCTCTCTCTTTCTGTCTCCCTGATTCCCCTCCCAAGGACCGCAGGAGAATTTTGGGGATTTGATGCGAGAACAGCTCTAAGGAGTAGCAGATTGATTTTCACATGGATGGGGGCCCCTAGAGCTGATGTGTAGCCTAGTAAAATATGGATCGGAGTACATGTCTTGAGTTTAGTCTCCGTGCCATGTTCCTTTGCAACCACTCAGTATACTTGGAGATCCTGGTGTACGCCCCAACATGACCTCTGACTGCACAGCCCTCGCTCCAGTTGACAATTCCTGTCAGGTACCACGTGCTCCTGTACTTGGTGAAATGGGGGCCACCATGGTCACCCTTGCAGGCACCTTTGCTCCCATCTAGGTAGCCGGCACAGAACATGTTCTTTGTTAGCCTAGGCACACTGATATTCCTGTTTGCGTTTTCCTTACAGTCCTGGGTCATCAGTCTGGGCACGCTGATGGTCATGAGCTGCAGGGCCGTGGAGCCATTGTAGAGGTTCTGGTCCCAGCCGCTCACTGAGGAGAACTTGATTTTGGCCAGCGTTTCCTCAGAGAACTTCTCGTCTGGCAAGCAGAGGGGCACCACGTAGTCGGTAAAGTTCACTGGTGTGTTCAGACGGAGCAGGATGATGTCATAGTTGGCCTTGCGTGCCTTGTACTTATGTGGGATAATCATTTGAGTAATGTACCGTACTTGTTCAGTGCCTTCCTCTTTGCCAAGGTCATGCTCACCTGAAAGGAAATGGATCATTATTCGGGTCGTGGTTGTTTGGGGAGCAAATCTTCCCCCACCTAAAACCCTAGGATGATGTTGTTCTCATTTTGCCCGCCTGGAGCCAGATGATGTGGAATGGGGGAATAATGGTCCATTTGGAGGATCTGGAAGGAGTGAGAGGAGGTCTCCATTTGGAAGAGGTGAATGGGACCTGCCCCAACTATTTTAAAAAAAAAATGAAGCAGAGTCTTTGCCCAGATGATTGCTGCCCTTTCTAGGAGTTGAGCTGAGACCACGTGGGGAGAGTGTGAGTGGAGGGGTCCCTCTGGAACATGAGATGTTAAAAGGGTGGTAGGTGTCAGAGAGCGGGGACCAGCAGGAAGTGGGATGGGAGCTGACAATCCTGCACTGGTCTCCACAGCCCG